TCCGTCCGTCCACCCTGACCACCCGCAAAAACACAACAATTTAAATAAACTGTAATTGAATGAAATCGAATCGAATCGAACCGATGTGAAGTGGCAAAATTGAAAATAAAAATAGAAATACACAAACAAAACCAACAACAACAAATAAATTTGATTTAATATTGAACGCGGATGATTGTGTCAATAACATCGGCATGAAATTAATGAACACACATGAGAACACATTTTCATGTTCAATAAACTGTTTGCGAAATGTTGAAATGCTTCGAATCTTAGCTGGCTGGTCGGCTGACCGATCAGCAGCTCTCCAAATGACAACTATATGCATTTGATGGCTGGCTGGTTGATTGGCTGGCTTGCTTCGATGTCGTCTATTAATAAATTGAACACTGACGCACCCTGTAATTTGTTTATGGTTGTGGATATTTTTTCATTTCATTTCATTTGCTATGAGATTATGAGAGCTTAGCAACAGAAAATTGCAAATAAAATAACAAAGGTCTACAGACTTCTTCTAAGTTCCGTCAGAGGACAATTTTTTCCTCAGCTTCCTTAGAAAAATTTCTCAGCAGGTCTCTCAAAGACTTTTTTTTCTATTGAAAAAAAAAAAAAATTTTTTTTTTTCTATAGAAAAAATTTCGTCAAGTCATTCTGAGGAAGACTTTTATCGATAGAAAAAATACATCAGCTCCTTCTGAGGAAGACTTTTTTCTGTAGAAAAAAAATCTTCAGGTCCATGAAGAGAACTTTTCTATGGATAAAATTGCCTCTAGTCCCTGAGGAAGACTTATGTTCTAAAAGTTCGTCTCCCCTGAGGGCTACTTTTTACTATTTCATGAGGAAACCCAAATTTTTATATACATATAACCAATAAATCGGACCCCTTTCATGTTATTCATGTCATCATTCTGACCTCTGTAAAGCTTTTCATCGATTGCATATCGAATATCTCGAATCAAACACATTTCCTTTTCAGCCTCTAATCCGGATATTTGTTTCTATGGGGATCTTATCCAGACAGACAGGAGATGTTTTGTAAAAAGAACTGAAGAGCCAGTGAGTCTTCTAAAAACGATGAAGTTTCGGGAAGAATTCTCTGGACAACGTTTGTACCAGGGAGCTCTGTCTGGGACCTTTATAAAGCCTCTCATCACATTTAGAAAATCTGTCTAGAAACGTTCTCATCACTAATCTGTAGCTCTAGAGATTCGCTACATATACGGACTTCAATTAATATCTTCTTAATTTTCGGAAACCTGGAAGGCTTCTTATTACCCCTTGGGACTTCTAGAAAGTTCTTCACCACTTATTCGAAGCTCTACAGTGTTTCCATCATCTATTCGGACCTTGGTAAAACACGTCAGAAATTATTCTGACATATGCAAAGCTTATCATTACCTCTAGGGACCTCTAGAAAAAAGTTTCTCATCTTTTATTTGAACCTCAATTAACATCCTCTCTAGAGATTCGCATATATACGAACCTCAAATAAGATCCCCTTAATTTTTCGTAAATCTGGGAGGCTTATCATTACCCCTGGGGACTTCTAGAAAGTTTTTCACCATTTATCCGAAGCTCTACAGAGTTCACATCATCTATTCGTACCTTGCTAAAACACCTCAGGATTTATTCGGGCATCTGAAACGCTTCTCATTACCTGTAAGAACCTCTTATTCAGACCTCAATTAACCTCCTCTTTTTTCGAATATCTAAAAGGCTTCTCATTGCCTCTCGGCACTTCTACAGAGTTCGCATCATTTATTCGGACCTCGATAAAGCACCTCATGAATTATTCCGACATCTGAAAAGCTTCTCATTACCTCTAGGGACCTCTACAAGAACTCCTCATTATCTACAGGGAATTCTAGAAATTTTCACAACACTTATTTGAAACTCTAAAGATCCCGATGATCATTTCAGACCTTAAAAAACTCCTCATGAATTATTTGGGACGTTTCGGGACCTCTAGAATGGTCGTCGTCTCATAAATTATTCGGACATTAATGCGTATCTAGGAACATCCTCATCACGTTTTCGAAGTTTTAGAGAGCTCACAATATGTTCATCACTTTTTCGAAGCTCCAGAGAGCTTGCATGAAATATTCAGACCTTTACAGAACTTCTCATGAATTATTCGGACATCTAAAATGTATCTCATCACTTTTATCACTTATCCGAAGTTATAGAGAGTTTGGATCTCCTATTCTGTCTTCTATAGAACTCTTCATAAGTTATTCGGATATCAGGAAAGTCTGTCATAACTTCTTAGGATTTCTAAAGACATCCTTGTTACATACATGAACATCTATTGAATTATTCGGACATCTAAAATGCATCTCATCATGTTTCGGGACTCTAGGATGCTCTTCGGTATCTACTCGAATCTGTAGAACGTTTGTCATCATTATTCGAATATCTGAATCACCAGTTCGGACCTCAATTAAACACCTCATAAATTATTCGAAGATCGGGAAGGCTTGACATTACCTCTAGGGACCTTTAGATAACTCCTCATCACTTATAAAATTTTTCATCACTTATCCGAAGCTATAGAGAGCTCGGATCACCTATTCTGTCTTCTATAGAACTCTTCATAAGTTATGCGGATATCAGGAAAGTCTGTCATAACTTCTCAGGATTTCTACAGACCTCCTCGTTACCTACATGAACTTCTAGAAAAACCCTCATCACTTATTCGAAGTTCTGGGGAGTTTGCACCCTCAATTCGGACCTTAATAAAAAAGTTTATGAGTTATTCGTACATTGACAAGGCTACTCATCACGTTTAGAGGCCTCTAGAATGGCCCCGTTATGCATTCAAATCTGTAAAAAGTTAGTCATTATTATCCAAATCTCAAAGGTCCTATAAGGACCTCTAGACAACTCCTCATCACTTACATGCACCTCTATAAAGTTTTTCAGCACTTATCCGAATCTCTAGAGGGCTCCCTCAGTTCGGACCTTAATAATGCCGTTTATGACTTATTCGTACATTGACAAGGCTTCTCATCACGTTTAGAGGCCTCTAATGGCTCCGTTATGCACTCAAAGTTAGTCATTATTATCCAAATCTCTCGATCATCAGTCCGGACCTCAATAAATCATATTAAACATTATTTGGACATTGGAAAGGCATGATATTACCTCTAAGGACCACTAGACAACTCCTCATCACTTACATGGAACTCTATAAACTATTTCATCACTTATCCGAAGCTCTAGAGAGCTCGGATCACATATTCTGCATTCTACAAAAATCTTCATATGTTATTTGGATATCGAGAGGAGTCTCTCATTACTTCTAAGAAGTTCTAGAGACCTCCTCGTTAACTACACGAACCTCTAGAAAGATCCTTATCACTTATACTGAGTTCGCAGCCTCAGTTCGGGCCTTAATAAAAAAGTAGGAAGCTTCTCTTTACTATATGAACCTCTAGAAAGTGTCCCATCATTTTCCGAATCTCTAAAGATTTCGCATCACCTGTTCGGACCTCAATAAAACACCACATACATTATTTGGTCATCGGATAGGATTCACATTACCTCTACGTACTTCTAGACAACTCCTCATCACTTACCGAAGCTCTAGAGAGCTCGGATCACCTCTTCTGCCTTCTAAAGAAATCTTCATACGTTATTTGGATATCGCTCTATATTCTAAGAAGTTCTGTAGAACTATTCATAAGTTATTCGGATATCAGAAAAGTCTCTCATAAATTCTCAGAATTTCTAGAGAGCTCCTCGTTACCTTGAGGCATATCTAGAAAGGTCCTCATCACTTATTCAAAGTTCCAAAAGAGCTCACACCACCTATTCGGACTTAAATAAATTTTTGATGACATATATACATACATCGGAAAGGCTTCTCCTCACGTCTCTGGACATCTAGAAATCTCCAATTTACTACATGACCCTTTTGAAAGTTTCACATTATTATTCGAGGCTCTAAAGATGTCGCATCTCCTGTTCGGACCTTAATAAAACACCTCATAAATTATTGGGACATATAAATGAATCCTCAATACTTTGCCGGACCTCCAGAATGCTCCTCGCCACCTACTCGAATATTCATATATTCGGAACACCTCAAACAAATTATTTGGAACTCAAAAATATTCCTTATTCACTTATTCACTATTCCTATATCACTTGTCAGGACCTCTAGAATGCTCCTAGTCACCTACTTGGACCTCCAAAATATTCTTATTAATTATTTGAAGCATTAGATAGCTTGCATCACTTATTAGTTTCTCAACATAACTCCATGTGAAGTATTAGAACATCGGTAAGTCAAATATTGGACCTCTAGAAAACTCCTCCTCTCTTAAATTAATCCGTTCGACTAATCAAGAGATTCTGTTACCCATAATACCTCAATGTTGACCCAGTTTAATTCCACAATTAACTATCAACACTGTTGCACTCAATTACAATTCAGGCCATTGGAAAGTTCACTACAATTTTATTAATAAAATTTCTTGTTAACATAACTAGTTCCGCAAATATTTGAAATGCTATCCGGGGTAATTGATAACTGCCGAACCAATTTACTTGAGTAAATGTGCAAGGAAAGGTTGAAATGGGTCACTAAAGATAACCAATATTGCATAACATCCTTTCTACATTTCCTCCTATCAACTGCTGCCAGATAAGGCCGAGGATGCTAGCTGATCCCGCACGTAGTTTACAGATGATTGCTGGTTGCCGCACTCAACTAAGTCACAGTAAATTGATTTTTGAGGGTACGTGATCGATTAGGGACAAACCTAGGAGAGATTTGAACGGCAACATTGTGGCAAAAAAGGGCTGGGTGGAAAAAATCTATCCAGGCTACTTTTACTTTTTCCCACCGCGATGAGGTGGCGAAATGAAAATAAGATTACTATAAATAGGCAATCTAGAAATAGATCAGTATCAGTTTCCAATTGAGTAGCACTCAACGAAGTCAGTTCTTTATTTTCAAGACGAAAAACAAAGTCCTTCAATCCTTAAGAAGAAAAATGGCAAAATCCTTGGTAAGGAAATTCCGAAAATAGATATGAAGTCATATTTCAATGTCTCTTGCGAACTTAGATTTTTGTAACCTTGTTTGCCTTATTTGGTCAACAAATTTGGGCCAAAACTGAGGTGGAATCGTCCGCCACAACTGTGTCTAAGGATTCTGGCAAAATTGTACCAAAACGTAGCCTGGAAGCTTTTCTAGGTGATGCTGGCATAAATGGCGGTTGGTCTTCTGGCGGTTTCAAAGTGGCAGGTTTTTCAGGTGGCTGGAATCCTTGGAATTCTCAGTAAGTTTACCTTCAAGCCTTCACTGTAAATCATGTCCAATATTCAGTCTCTCTGTTGCCGTTCTCACTTCCCCACAGCTCATCACGTTACATTTCCTCACCATCACCCAGTGAAGTGGCGAATGCCATTGCTGCCGCTAAACAGGCTTCCAGCAATGTTTTAATTGCCCAACAACAAATGCAAGCAGCCAAAGAGAATGTCCTCAATCAACAGCGTATGGCCATGGAAAAGGAGGCTGCTGCCGCATTGCTTACCCAAAAATCAGAGGCTGCCGCTGCGATACAACGTTCGGAGGCCGCAGCCGCTGCACAGGCTGTTGTCTTGGCCCAACAACGTTTGGCTGCCACAAAAGCTGCAGTGGCCCATCAACAGCGCATTGCTGCTGCCCGCGAAGCTGAGGCTGCCGAAGCCTTGAAACGTTCAGCTCATGCTGCAGCCGCTGAAATTCAAAAGACCGAATATGAAGCATCGAAGTTGGGGCAATTGGCACGCAATAATAATGCCGGTGCTGCTCATCATTTGACTTATGCCAAGGATGCTGCCTTCAGTCCGATTAATGCTGGCACCAACCATGTTCCCAATTTGGAATCATTGGGTCCTTGGTCTGCAGCAGCCGCGGCCGCAGCTGCTACTGGAGGCAAGGGTGCTGCTGCAGGTGGTTGGTTGTAAGAACATGTTGATCGTAATTTGTTGTTTATTTTTTCCTTTCCATTCGGCTGATGATAATTGATCGGCTGCGGCTTGTAAGCTATAATCGATATATATTTAGTTTAATAAAGGCATATCAAAATAAGTCGGAAGGGGTTTTGGAATTGTAGAAGAGATATCTAAATGGTAGAGGGGCAGAAATACTTCTTAGACGAACTGGAGGGCCAGAGAATGCTCTTTAGACAAGGTAAGGCAGAAATGCATGAATAATCAGTGAGTCTTCTCGTGGCTAGCTCATGACGATCTGAAGGGCTCTGCACCACCTTTAGGAATTTTTATAAATCTTCTCATTATCTCTTGGGATTGCTAGAAAAGACTGAAGTTCCATTGAGTCTTCTCATAACGAGTTGAAGCGTTCTGCACCACCTTTCGAAAACTTTATAAAGCATCTCATCACCTCTTGGGATCTCTAGAAACTATCCCATGACTTTTCGTAACACTATTCGGACCTCAATGAACCTTTTCATTAATAATCGGAATATCTCAAAGCCTTTTCATTGCCACTTGGTATCTCTAAAGAGCTCGTATCACCTCCTAATTAATTAATCGGATCATCTAAAAGGTACATAATATCCTCCCGGGACCTCCGGAAACCTCTAGAAAGTTTCGGACATCGTAAAGGCTCTGCATCACCTCTCGAGACCTCGTTACCAGCAAAGCTACTCATTACCTCTCGAAACCTCTAGAAACTCCTTCTTCAATACATCTTGGGGCATCTAGAAAATTCCTAATCACTTATTCGAAGCTCTGAAGAGCTTGCATCTCCCATTTGGATCTCTATGTAACTCCTCATGTATTGTTCTGACCTCTGAAAGCCTCCTCATAACCTCTCGGGATCTCTACAAAGCTCATTCTTGCCAACATGATCACTTATCCGAAGCTTTAGAGACCTCCAAAAGGCTTTCCTCATTCCTCAGAACCTACTCGGACCTGTAGAAACTAACTTTTCGGTTATCTGTAGATCCAGAAAGTTTGCACATACCTTTTGAGATCTCAATAAAATTCCTTTTTCATTACTCGGAGAACTGAAAAGCTTATCATTACCTCTCGGACCCTCTGGAACCCCTTCATGCTCTATAGACAATTTATCATCACTTATTCGAGCCTCTAAATAGTTCGCATCACCTATTTGAGCCTCTATAAAACTCCTCATCTATTCGGAACTCTGAAAGCCTCCTCATAACATCTTGGGGCCTCTAGAAAATTCCTAATCACATATTCGAAGCTCTGAAGAGCTTGCTTCTCCCAGTTGGATCTCTATGTAACTCCTCATGTATTGTTCTGACCTCTGAAAACCTCCTCATAGAAAATTCCGTGTCACTTATCGGAAGATCTACAGAGATCGCATTACCTGTTTGTATCTCAACAAGACACTTCATAAACTATTCGAACATTGGAAAGGCTTAATATTGTTTGTTAGAATCTATTGAAAGTCCCTCATAACCTACACGAACCTCTAGAAAGATCCTCATAACCTACTTAAATTTCTAAATAGCGTACATTACATATTCTGACCTCTAGAAAGCTGCCCATACCTATTGTAATGTGTATTATTGTTATAATCGATGATGTCGGAGACCAGGTGTAGGTCAGGGACTTTAAAGACTAGATAAATCTTAGGGAGTCTTTATATACGCTCTGGAGTTCATGGTAGTCGATCTGAAGTCAAGAAGTCTTTATAGATGAGCTGTAGTTTTTTGTAGACCCTCTGGGATTTTTTTTATAGCCGAGCAGAATCTCAGGGAGTCTTTATATACGATTAGAAGTTCAGAGAGTATTTGTAGACGAGCTGTAGCTCGGGGAATCTTTATAGTCGATCTGAAGTCAAGAAGTCTTTATAGATGAGCTGTAGTTTTTTGTAGACCCTCTGGGATTTTTTATAGCCGAGCAGAATTTCAGAGAGTCTTTATATATGATTAGAAGTTCAGAGAGTATTTGTGGGCGAGCTGTAGCGCGGGAAATCTTTATAGACGTGATGAAGCCAACGAAGTTACAGATCTGGGAGTTTTTAAACTATCTAGAGCACAACGAGTTTTAATAGAGCCCAGGAAATCTTTTAAGATGAACTGAAGCTCAGGGAGTTCCTGTAGACATTCCGGAACTCATGGAATCCGCATAGTCGATCTGAAGTCATGAACTCTTTATAGATGAGGTGTGAGTTATGGACGCTCTGGGATTTTTAGGGAGTCTTTATAGACGCGCTGTAGCTCGGAGAGTCTTTATATACGTGATGAAGCCAACGGAGTCACAGACTGGGAGTTTTTATATCATTCGAAGCACAGCGAGTCTTTATGGGCGAAATAGATGAGTTGACGCTCAGGTAGTCTTTGTAGACGAGACTGAACTTCAGGCAGTCTTCCTTGACTGTAGCTAATGTTGTTCTTACTGAGTCTTTATTGGCGGGCTCTAGACGTGCTGAAGCTGACCTAGAAGTCTTTATAGACAGGCTGAAGCTGATGGAGTTTTTATGGACTATCTGAAGGCCCAGGAAGTCTTTTTAGGTCAGCAGTACTTCAGATAGTCTTTATTGACGAACTAAAGCTCCGGGAGCCTGTTTTGACGAGCTGAAGCTCAAGGACACTGTATAGATGCACTGAAGGGCCAGGGATACTCTGATGCTCAAGGAGTCTGTATAGACATTTTGAAAGGCCAGGGCGACTCTGAAGCTCTAGATGTCTTTTTCTTTGTTCTTCGTGGTGAAGTTCAGGAAGTCTTAACAGACGTGCTGAAACGGAGGAGTTTGTAGGGGCGAACTGAAGCTCAGTTAGTCCGAATAGGCGAACTAAAGCTCAGGGGCTCTGTATAAACAACCTCAAGTGCCGGGGAGTCTTTATAGACCATCATAAGCTCAGATAGTTTTTATAGCTATATATAGACCAGCTGAAGCCAGTCTGCCCAGGATGGGTAATTGAAGATGAGCTGAAGCCTGGCCTGGGAGTCTCTGAACCGTTAAATAACAGAGAATCTCCTTATTAACAGAGTCGCTGTTAAATATCAGCGCATCTGTTAACTGACAGAGCTTCTGTTCACTAACATATTTCCCTATTTAGGTGCACTGTTCCCACTGCTTTTCATTTTTGCATACAACTGTTGTATGTTGTTAGCATTTTGTTGTCGACAATTTTCTTGTTGTTGCTGTGGTCGTCATAAATGTTTGTTTACATTTATTCAGCAGCAGAAGCAATCGAAAACAGAAAAAATATATATCGTAAAAATTGTATATTCACATTCTCACAGTTGATGTCCATCATCTACATCGTTAACAGCGCTGCTACAAACAGTCGTACACGCTGCCAGTGCTGAGCTTGACAACAACAACAACCACACAACACCAAACATATAAAATGAGAAATGAGGTTAACCTACATTTAAAGAAGGTCAAAAACGAACCAAGTACACCACACAATGAAATGAACGCGCAAACATACACAGACACACATACACCAACAGACAGTCGCTCGCTGGTTCGCACAGCAGAGACACATTGAATAGTATATGATACGTAGTGGAAAGCAGCGTGTTCGTTCAGTTAGTCATACGCTCACTTCTGCTTGCTTGGTGGCTGGTTGGCTTGTGAGCTTGTTGTTCACTCACGTATCAACAATAAAGCACACAATAGAGGAGCTACTTCTACCATCCAGTCATAAGCAGAGCAAATGTAATCACAAACATGAACGCTTCTTAAATCTAGGCGTACTTTGCTTAGCGGGAGAGAAAATAATCGTTGCGAAGCTACGTAAAAGTCAACGTCAGCAGCGTTACATTGACGTTACATCGACGACGACAGCGTTTTGATGACCATGCCTGAATTGTGGCAAGCAAATTTGCTTAGATGGGCCGATGGGAGCTCCTATATCCATATAGTCCATATAGACAAGCAGACATTCTGGGAGTATTTATAAACGAACAGGAGCTCAGGGAGTCTTTATAGGCGAGCTGGAGCTCAGTTAGTTTCTATGTACGACATGAATGTCCTAAGTCCTAATATTTGGGCTGGAGGGCTGGGAGTCTTAATAAACTGATTAGAGCTCAGGGAGACTTTATAGAGGATCTGAAGTTCAGGGAGTCTTTATAGACGAGCTGGAGCTCGGGGAGTCTTTACAGAGGATCTGAAGTTCAGGGAGCTTCAGATCCTCTACAAAGAGATCTGAAGCTCAAGCAGTCTTTACAGGGAGCTGAATCTCCGGGAGTCTTGACAGACAGGCTCATGGAGTCTATATAGACTAGCTAGAGCTTATGGGTGGAGCTCAGGGAGTCTTAATAGACGAGCTGGAGTTTTTATAACCAGGTTGGAGCTCAGGGAGTCTTAATAGATAGACTGGAGCTCAATGAGTCTTAATAGACGACCTGAATGTCAGAGAGTCTAAATAGATTGGCTGGAGCTCAGGGAGTCTTTGCAGAGGAACTGAAGGTCAGGGTGTCTTTATAGACGGGCTGGAGCTTAGAAAGTCTTAATAGACAAACTGGAGCTTGCGGAGTTTTAATAGACGAATTGGAGCTAAGGTAGTCTTTATAGACGGGCTAGGGCTCAGTGAATCTTAATATGAGAGCTGGAGATCAGACAGTCTTTATAGACGAGCTGGAGCTCAGTTAGTCTTTACGGACTAGCTGAATCTCAGGGTATCTTAATAGACGGGCTGGAGATCAAGGAGTCTTAATATACTGACTAGAGCTCAGGGAGTGTTTATAGACCGGCTGGAGCTCAGAGAGTCTTAATATAAGAGCTGGAGCTCAGGGAGTCTTAATATACGGGCTGGAGCTCAGGGAGTGTTTAAAAACAGGATGGAGACCAGGGAGTCTTAATAGACGAAGTGGAGTTTTTATAACCAGGTTGGAGCTCAGGCAGTCTTTATAAAGGGGCTGGAGCTCAGAAATCTTTACAGACGATCTGAGTCTTAATAGATTTGTCGATGGTCAGGTAGGTAGTCTTTTTAGACGAGCTGAAGCTCAGGTAGTCAATA